ATTGACATTCAAACTGCAGCAGATAAGAAAAATATTAACGAAATGCTCAGACAGCTAACCAGCCATTAAGGCACTGTGATGTGATTACAGCTTCCTTTCCAACAAATTTTCCTGGTGTTCTCCTATTTCCCTGCACAGTTCCGCATTCGCATTACTGTAATTTGGTGAATTCTTTTCTATAGATGCACAGGCGCAAATACGTCACCCTTATAAGAACTTTCTCATTCACTGAGAATGGATACTAAGCACCCTTATGGGGTGGGTCCATTTTTAGAAGGAAGCTCACCATTTTCCTGGAAGGATTAAAGTAATGAGGATTTCGAAGAATCATTCACAGGTATATTAAACAAAGATCATTTCAAATTTCAAACAGTTATAGGTCAATGAAGCAAGAAATTTGTGGTTTGCCCTAATCTAAAACAGAGCCTAATTAAATATGGATGAACATAGATATCACTAAATCTCCAAACTTGTTCCGAGGGCAGAAAAGGATAGTAACTACTGGATAAGCCTTTGCTTTCCCAAAAGCCAAATCTACCGAAGGGAAGTCCTTCAACAAGGTTTTGACTTCACCATCAAAAGAAAAATATACAGATGAGAAAAGAACATAAACCATTATACCATGTTAAGGTACATAATCAACATTATCATTTTCACTAGGTAATTTCCAAATTATATAATCTGTGCAGTTCAGATCTTCAAAATCCTTTCCACATCAAGTGTCGATCCGACGCGATTTGGATGTGGGTGTCCGATCCATACTGGGTTCGGTCAAACTAGCTTGGGTACTTTGACTATTCTATAGCCAAGAACACTTTGCTATTATACGAGATAACTTGTAGAAAGATATTACACAAAAAAGATGATTATACAAGTTTTAATTTGATAACTTCAATTAGCTGTCAGATATATACTTTTATTGGTTCTTTCTTAAAAACCACCCCATACTCCTATCCATATTCCCGAATCCTATGATTCAGGTAATGATAAATCCAACTTCTATATCTGCTACCGTATTGGGTGCCGACACCCATATTCGAGCAACATACCTTGAGACGGAAAATTTGACTAGGACATATTAATTGGCATGCCATTGCATAAAAGTTAAAACCAGATTAAGATAGTTCCTTTTACCAGAAAACTGAAGACAATGAGCTCTACTTCTCAGTTTGCAGCAAAATGGGGAAAATCAAAGCTTACTCTAATGTCTCCCACTTCTTCTAAGGGCTGCATTGTGGAAAAGTCTTTGGTCATGATCCTCATGCTTTACTGCTGCGGCCGCAGCTCTCAGTACTGAAGATGAAATCCATAGTGTAAACCAGATGGCAGAATTAATGAGAAAAATCATTGAAAATTGAGTAACAGGCCAGAAAGAATCAAGTAAACAATTTTTTTTAGAAAAAAGAAAGTCTGAAGGAGAAGATATGTATATAACGTATAAATAAATGGAGAGAGAGAGAAATAAATGAACTGGAGCTAACCGTGGTTAGGAATTAAGGAACTACGCTCAATTTCAGCATTGCAGAGGGTACATCTTGCCTGTCATGATGAGATGAACGTGATTATGTTCTTGACTCATTCATCACTAACCCAAGAAATGAAGACAACAACATGAAACCAAAAAGGAATATGATGTTCAAGCAAGAGTTGCTTTGTCCATGAAGCAGTTCCGCCAATATCCCATGTATGGTTTGTGTTAGAGTTTTATCCTGATTTTCTTATCATAATTTAAGATTTATTTTTTCTTAAAGAAAAAACAAAACATTACCATAAATGTTTTTACTTTTCTTGAAAGGAAAATATAATATTATTTTATATTTGGTTTATTCTCTCCTTTTAGGACTCCTTTTCTAGTAGGAAAAGTTTTAGGACACTATAAATATAGGTCTGCTTCTTCCAACACAATAACAATAACATCCACAATGTAGTCGTTTAGAGACTTTTGTTTATGGGGAGATTTATTCTCTCTAAAGTTTCAATATTTTTCTTTATATTAGTTTTGATATAATAATATTTTGATATTTTAGTATAAGTTTTTGTTATCTGATTTATCAACCATATAATTTGCAAATTGCAAGTTTCTGCATGACGCCCTAATCACCCCTTCAGAACCCAACAAGTGGTATCAGAGCACATGGTTCAAAGATCCGGTGGTCCTTGTTTGATTTATCGACATCATGATTTGCAATTGTAAGTTTTAGCATGATATCCTAATTTTTCGAACTCAACAAGTGATATCAGAGCATGTGGTTTAATGATCCAATGGAATGAAGTTCAAGGCAATTTCAAAGCAATTTGCAATAAATTTGATGATAATAAAGATTTTTGTCCAACTACACATGGAGAAGAAATTTAAATCATATTTTCAACAATGTTGCTTCACCTTTAAAAATAAAAATCAATTTTCAACTCATACTTACTTTTATGCATGAGCTTGAACTTTCAACTACGGCTTTAAGGCTTGGATTCCATTTTTCAACTCATGCATATTACTTATAACGCATGAGCTCCACTTTCAACTCATGTATATTACTTTTAACGCATGAACTCCACTTTCAACCCTGTTCATCACTTTTAACACAGGGCTCCAAGTTTTAACCCAGATCAATTTTAAATCATGGTAAGCAGCAATGATACATGAAGATTGTGTGAAGAAAGAGGATCAATATTATTATGCTAGAAAATTCATGCCAAAAAGGGAGATTTGTTAGGGTTTTGTCCTGATTTTCTTACCAATAATTTAAGATTTATTTTCCTTAAAGAAAAAACAAAACATTACCATAAATGTTTTTACTTTTCTTGAAAGGAAAATATAATATTATTTTTATATTTGGTTTATTCTCTCCTTTTAGGACTCCTTTTCTAGTAGGAAATGTTTTAGGACTCTATAAATATAGGTTTATTTCTTCTAACACAATAACAATAACATCCACAATGTAGTCGTTTAAGAGTCTTGTTTATGGGGAGATTTATTCTCTCTAAAGTTTCAATGTTTTTATTTATATTAGTTTTGATATAATAATATTTTGATTTTTAGTATAAGTTTTTGTTATCTGATTTATCAACCAAATGATTTGCAAATTGCAAGCTTCCGCATGATACCCTAATCACCCCTTCATAACCCAACAGTTTGCTCAAAGTCTGTGGTAGCTCATACCAATTTATAATCTTCATATTCTTATGAGAACAGGAAAAATGGCTAGAGAAGAAGACAAAAACTCCTACCATATCAATAACCCTTTTCAGCATGAGACCACCAAAGGAATGTCCGCATGGAACAGACATAACATCTTCAAGGAATGTGCCACTGCAATGTTTCACATTGTAACGGTAAAGTAATTATATTTTCCAGATGCAAGAAACTATACACTAATTAGCCATTCATATGCTAATATGAATCATGAATGGAGCTACAAGAAAACAATGATACAAGCTTGGCGTGGGGAAGAGACTACGACTATCAAGTTCAGTTAAGGGGGCTAAATTTTTTTCCATTTTAACACTTGACAAGGGAAGTTGAAACTAATATGCTCAGTCCAAGTGTCCAACATTCTGTGTAGTGCAGCACACTGTTGTCATGAACTATTTAACTAGTTTAAGGGCCAAGGAAGAGTAGGAAATATAGCTTTTCAAGAGCACAATATATTCCTACCTTTTCATAGGAAAACACAGTTGCAAGTTCCAAATTCTTTATCCACTTCTTGATTCTATTCTGGTTAAGTCTCAGCAGGGGAATTGATGAGTTTCTTTTAATGCTTTACTTGCTTTTAATGCTCGAGTTCCTCTCGGCCTCAAAATGCATGAAGCTGCTAAAATTTTGTAAAATAGCACCAAAACATCTGAAAACTTTTTGCAATTTCACAACTGTTACGAGATATTTATAGTATTTACCCCACTTCTGCACATTCTGCAACATGTAATACCTCATCTAGGTGATACACATGGATTTTAAAATAAAGCTCCACGGCTCAAGATGAAGCTTTCAATTGTTTCTTATATTTAGCCAAAGGCCACTTTTTGGCTCTATTGATATTCAACGTTTTCCATATTGCAGAGTGTTAAGATTAGTGAGCAAAATTAGTTAGTTCAATATTCAAAATAGGAAGTGTATAAGTTAGTTAGTTGGTTATATAACTACCTATCCAAAAGTTAGTTAGGAGCTCTAACTAACTAAGTTTCAAAAGTGTTGTATATATATAATCACTCTTGTACTCATTTGTTTCAATGAATCAATAAGAGAATTGTGAGAGATCTTATAACTCTCAGATATAAGCTTCTATAATAGATTGGTTCTTCTTCTTCTTCCTCGTCTATTTCTTCTTATTCTTCTTCTACTCTTTCTCTAGTTCTAATCTTCATTAACTTCATGGTATCAGAGCTTTCAAGCAAGAGATTCATTGCTTGATTCTAGAATTCCGCAAGTTTTTCTCAATTGACATTAATACAGATTCGAAGGTTCGAAGTTAGTTCAAGAAATGGCACCAAATTCTACTGATTCTCAAGGTCAGACCACTAGTACCAATGGAGGAGCTGTAGCTGTTATTGATCACAATCACCCATTGTTCTTGCACTCTTCTGATGTAAGTGGGATACAAATAATTTCGTTTCAGTTAACTGGAGTGGAAAACTATTCAGTTTGGTTTAGATCAATGAAGATTGCGTTGCTAGGAAGAAACAAACTGGGAATGGTTGATGGATCTTGTAAAAATGAAATGTTTCCAGGGCTAGAGGACAATTGGGAAAGAGTCAATGCCATAGTTCTGTCTTGGATCATGAATTCTGTTTCAAAGATCTTGTTAGGAGGCATAATGTATGCTTCAAGTGCTAAAGTTGTATGGGATGACTTGTTCGAAAGATTCAACAAGGTGGATGGATCAAGAACATTTAATCTTCATAAAGAAATTGCCACCTTAAGTCAAGACACCAGTTCTGTTTCTGTGTACTATTCTAAACTCAAAGGATTGTGGGAAGAGTTTTGAAGCTCTAGTTCCAATCCCAAGATGTTCTTGTGAGGGGTCAAAGGAATATAGTGTGCATCATCAAAAGTTGAAGTTGTTTCAGTTTCTCATGGGATTGAATGACTCATATCTGCAAGCAAGAAGTCAAATTCTGATGCTGAAACCAATACCTAGTGTTAATCAAGCTTATTCTATGATCTTAAGTGATGAAAGTCAAAGGTCTGTTGTAGCTAATGCAGGAGTGTTGGGTACTGGTCCAGCGAGTCTACAAGGGTCTTTTGATGCTGTTATGTACTCAAGGACAAGTGGAACTCAAAATAGGTTCAAGAAGGGATATAATCTTGTGTGTGATTTCTGCAAAATTAAAGGACATACAAGGGAAAATTGTTACAAGATCATTGTATATCTACAGGATTTTAAGTTAAAAAAGAAGGGAGTAAGTAGTTCTGCATATAATGTAACTGGTGAATCTGAGGATGGGTTGAGGTCAAGGTTTGATGATGGAGTGAGGTCAAATGCAAGTGATGCAGGAAGTGGACAGTTGAGGTGTGATGGAGAGGTTAAACTACCACATCAGAATCAGCTGGAATCCTATACATTGACTAGGGAGCAATATAATCAGGTCTTGCAATTCCTTGACAAGAAGTCAGAGGTTTCACATTGTGTAAATGCAGCAGGTACGAATCATACTTCAAGAAGTCAGAGTCATAGTCCAGGATGGATAATAGATACAGGAGCCACAAATCATGTTGTGGCTGACCTGAGTCTCTTAAAAATAAGTCTATATCTAAAGTTGAAAATCCCAAGAAAGTACATCTTCCAAATGGTGATAAAGCCTTGGTAACACATCTAGGTTCTAGCACACTAGATGGGAAGAACACAGTTTCAGGAGTATTTTGTATTCCTCAGTTCAAGTTTAATCTATTATCTGTTGCTAAACTAACCAAGGAGTTGAATTGTTCTACATCCTTTTTTCCTGACTTTTGTTTGTTTCAGGAACTCTTCAGTGGAAAGGTGAATATGATTGGTAAAGAGGATGGAGGATTGTACATTTTTTCCAACAAAATAGATAAAGAAGATGATGCTATATTGTCAGCAAGACATTCTGAGCACAGTGATAGACAGACTGAGAAAATAGATATTCAGTTACTACATAAAAGGCTTGGGCATAGTTCTAGTTCAAAGCTTAAGAAGTTGTTAAATACTAGTCTGGAGGATATTACAAAGTATATAAGTAAATGTACTGTATGTCCTTGTGCCAAACAAGCTAGAATGTCATTTCCTATTAGTACTTCTAGCAGCTTGAGTACTTTTGATTTGCTACATATGGATTTGTGGGGTCCTTATAAAAACCTACATTTGATGGTTTCAAATACTTCTTAACTATTGTAGATGACTACTCTAGAATGACTTGGGTGTTCCTGTTAAGAATGAAGTCTGATGTGTGTACAATGCTGAAAACTTATTTGACTTACATAAAGACTCAATTCAATAAGCAAGTGAAGGTTATAAGAAGTGATAATGGTACTGAATTTGTGAATACAAACTGTTCTGAGTTGTTCAAAGAGTTAGGCATAATACATCAAACTTCATGTGCTTACACACCCCAACAAAAATGGAATAGCTGAAAGAAAACACAGACACATTTTAGAGATAACAAGAGCCATAAGATTTCAAGAAAATATTCCTATAATGTTTTGGGGGTTGTGTGTTAAAGCTGCTGTTTATATTATTAACAGGATGCCTAGTAGTGTTATTGCTGATATGTCTCCCTTTGAAAAACTGTACAATAAGAAACCTTCTTTGCATCAGTTAAGGGTGTTAGGATGTCTATGTTTTGCTAAGAGAGTAAATGAGTTAGACAAGTTGAAGCCCAGGTCTACAACTTGTGTTTTCCTGGGATATGCTGAGACTCAAAAAGGATATGTGGTATATGATCTAGCTAATAATGTGTTTTCTGTCAACATGGATGTAGTGTTTCAGGAAGATGTTTTTCCATTCAAACTCAAGTCCAAGGATTCAGTTCCTATTTTTACATACACTGGTATAAATCATGAAGTGGATGATATAAAAGAAGTGTCAATAGCAACACATTCACAACATAATTCTCAAGCTGAGTTACTGCCTCAAGAACAAGTTGAAAATGTTGAGGTGGAGACTTCTACCAACCTACAACAAACAAATGTATATGAGGATATACAAGCAGAACAGATATCTCAAACTGAAGTGAGGAAATCAGGAAGAGGAACCAAACCTCCATTATGGATAAAAGATTTTGTGTCACTAAACATCCATGAAGGACCTTACAGTTTGGATAAATATGTGTCATACAACAGTGTTAATCCTACCTATCAGGCATATCTAGCAAAGATGTCAAGTGTGACAGAACCACAGTTTTACAAGGAGGAAACATCTGATGCTAAGTGGATTGAGGCAATGAATGCTGAGATAAAGGCACTGCAAGATAATCATACTTGGGAAGTAGTTGAGCTTCCTGATGGAAAAACGCCTATAGGTTGCAGATGGATATCAAAGTTAGCACAAATCTAATGGAGAGGTTGAAAGGTTCAAGGCAAGGTTAGGTAGGGCAAAAGGGGGTAACGAACCAAAAAGAAAGGTATAGATTATCAAGAAACCTTCAGTCCTGTTGTAAAGATGAAGACTGTTATGACTGTCTTGGCTATTGCTGCACAACAACACTAGCAGATACATCAAATGGATGTATTTAATGCATTTCTTGAAGGAGATTTACCTGATGAAATCTATATGCAATTACCTCAGGGATTTGAGAGTCAGGGGGAGAATAAAGTGTGTAGACTCACTAAATCCCTCTATGAATTGAAACAGGCTCCCAGACAGTGGAATGCAAAGTTGTCTGAGGCATTGTCAAGGTTTGGGTTCAAGCAGAGTGAAAATGATCACTCTTTGTTTATCAAGCAAACATCAATATGTTCAGTGTTTGTTCTCATATATGTGGATGATATGCTAATTACAGGAAGTAGTGTTCAGCTCATTGAAGAAACAAAAGCTAAACTGAATCAAACCTTCAAGATGAAGGACATAGGAGAGTTAAGGTTTTTTCTGGGGATTGAGTTTGCCAGATCAAGTAAGGGTATACTGATGCATCAGAGGAAGTATGCATTAGAACTCATTTCTGAAACAGGACTGCGAAATGCAAAACCAGCAGTAACTCCTATTGACAATAACAACAAGCTAAGCTCAAGACAATATGATGATCACTTCAATTCAGAGAATGTACAAGAAGATCCTCCAGCTGATCAAAGCCTATATCAAAGACTGATAGGAAAGCTACTATACCTCACTATGACAAGGCCTGATATTGCATTTGGAGTGCAAACTTTGAGTTAGTTTTTACAACAACCTAAAAAGACTCATATGGAAGAAGCTTTAAGGATTGTTAGATACATAAAAGGTCAGCCAGGTCAAGGGATATTATTATCCAGCATTCAAGATACCAATCTCACAGCTTTTTTGTGATGCTGACTGGGCATCTTGTCCTCTTACAAGGAAGTCTGTAACATGGTATTTTATCAAGTTTGGTAACTCAGTGGTGTCATGGAAGTCTAAGAAACAATCTACTGTTTCTAGAAGCTCAGCAGAAGCTGAGTACAGGAGTATAGCTACAACTGTAATAGAAATCATTTGGATGCTGGGGATGTTAAAAGACTTAGGGATTGAAATGCATAAACCTATAGAAGTATGCACAGACAGTAAAGCAGCCATCTTGTTAGCTGCTAATCCTGTGTATCATGAGAGGACAAAACACATTGAGATAGACTGCCACTTCATAAGGGAAAAAATTGTACAAGGAATAATATGTACCAAGTACACTCCTACACATGAACAACCAGCTGATATGCTTACAAAATGGTTGACTAAAATTCAACATCAGTTGCTCAATTCCAAGCTTGGAGTTCAGAACATATTTTCACTTCCAAGCTTGAGGGGGAGTGTTAAGATTAGTGAGCAAAATTAGTTAGTTCAATATTCAAAATAGGAAGTGTATAAGTTAGTTAGTTGGTTATGTAACTACCTATCCAAAAGTTAGTTAGGAGCTCTAACTAACTAAGTTCCAAAAGTGTTGTATATATATAATCACTCTTGTACTCATTGTTTCAATGAATTAATAAGAGAATTGTGAGAGATCTTATAACTCTCAGATATAAGCTTCTATAACAGATTGGTTCTTCTTCTTCTTCCTCGTATATTTCTTCTTATTCTTCTTCTACTCTTTCTCTAGTTCTAATCTTCATTAACTTCACAGAGGGAACTCACAACAACTCAACTAACAGTGGTAGAGGTTTTGACTTCTCTGCGTATTGTTTTTCCTCTGTTGGAGGTTGGGGTGTGAGCTGCATGTAAGTTAGACTTTTGTTATACTTATTTATTAAGTCCACACAATTGAGGTAGAAAAAAGTCTCTGTAAATATTTCCAGCATAAGAAACCAGAGCTATCTCAGTTCCATAGAGTCGTGCACGTTTGTTCAATATCTCATAGCTCCTGTAACCAAACCACATTTCTAATACGAATACCATGTAGAGAGGGCATACCAACTCTTTAGACCTTATCAACAGTTTCGTTTGCAAGTATAAGGCATCTATAATGTTATGTCTCTGTTAGTTTTACAGTTGCCTAGCATTTTTTCCTTCAAACATCCCTTATACCAACTCTTTAGACAATTTCAGTGGTTCTGTTTGCAAGTTTAAGGCATCTATATGGTCATGTTATGTATGTTAGTTTTACAGTTGCCTAGCATTTTTTCCTTCAAACATCATTACAAAGAAAAAGTTATCTGCATTATTTTGCTAGGAAATTTTTGAAGAAAATATAATCTTGAAAACTTCTGCAAGACCTTTAGTCAAACTAGGCCAACATTTCTTGAACTTCTTGCTATAAATGGAAGTAAGGGATGTCTATTTATTAGGTTAAAAGTTTGAGACTGAGAAAGTATAAGATGTTTGATATACTCATGCAGTAAATATGCTGCTATTTCTCTTCTCTTTTTCTTGTAAGTAAATATGCTGCTATATTTAACCAGAAAAGAAGGAGAAAAGTTCATTTGACAAATTAAAACTTACAATAAGGGATCTGAAAGAACACTTCTGAGTGATGGTTCCTTATTTAGATTGTCTCGGGCCACCTGCTGATCCAGACCAAGAATGAGATGTCTTCTTATGTTGTATTCAGACCAAAATATCCATGGTCCAATTCTGTAGGTGTTTTTAAAAAAAAGGGGCAGCAAAAAGAATTAATTGAAATGTCTCTGGATGGATTGAAATGTCTTTCAGTAGCTTTCAATAATTTTATTAAGCATTGAGGGACTTTAAATACCCAATATAAAACATATAATTGACATAATTTAAAATTCAAAAATCCTAAAATATCTCAACAACTAAAACAACCTAACAAAAATTCAAATTTCAAATTTATCTTAAACTAGACAACTTGTTTTGCTACAGAGTACTGTAGTAACTAAAAACAAACTTCAACCAGGGGCGGAGCCACGTAGGCTCCAGGATGTCCAATTGGACACCCTTCGTCGAAAAATAATACGGTATATACGCGTAAAATTTTGATTTTGTATTGGTATATATAGAATTTGGACACCCTGAAATAACAAAGTAAAGCGTAGTGGAGTTGGCAATTCCTATCGCAAACCTACTCTCTGCCCCTGATCGATTCCCCGCAGGAGTGTTTCATTTTTATGTAATTATTTGACTTCTTGAATTTAATTAAGTATATAAACATGCCCAAGTTCGAATCTTACCTCCACTAATTTTTTTTTCCAATTAAAATTGAATTATTTCCTTAAATTTTAATACATTTTTCTTGTGGAATAAGATTTCCTTAAATTTAATATTTTTTCCTTGTGGATATCTTTCAATTAAAATTGAATTATTTCCTTAAATTTTAATACCTTTTTCTTGTGGAATAAGATTTCCTTAAATTTTAATGCTTTTTCCTTGTGGAATAAGGTTTTCTTTCTCTATAAATAGGAGACTCATTCACCCAAATTATATCACAATATTATTAAGAATAGAATCTCAATAATTCTCTCTCTATTTTTTCTTCTCTTTATTTTATTTTATAACA